AGTCGCATGCATTGCTCAGGTGTGATTTTGGCCCATTCTTCCACACAAACAGTSTTCAAATCTTGAAGGTTTCCTGGGTCTCTTCTATGAACTCTGATCTTTAGTTCTTTCCATAGATTTTCTGTTGGATTCAAGTCATGTGGTTGGCTGGGCCATTCCAGCAGCTTTATTTTCTTTCTCTGAAACCAATTGAGAGTTTCCTTGGCTTTGTGTTTGGGCTCATTGTCYTGCTGAAATGTCCAGCCACGTTTCATCATCATCATCCTGGTAGATGGAAGCAGATTTTTATCAATAATGCCTCTGTACATTTTTCCATTCATCCTTCCTTCAATTATTTGAAGTTTGCCAGTACCACATGCTAAAAACAGCCCCACGCCATGATGTTCCCACCTCCAAGCTTCACTGTTGGTATGGTGTTTTTGGGCTGATGTGCAGTGCCATTTGACCTCCAAACATGATGTGTATTCTGGCATCCAAACAGTTCAGTTTTGGTCTCATCTGACCAGACAATATTCTCCCAGTATTTCACAGGCTTGTTTAAATGTTGCGCAGCAAACTTGAAACAAGCTTCAACATGCTGTTTCTTCAGCAGTGGAGTCTTGCGTTGTGAGCGTGCATACAGGCCATGGTGGTTCAGTACATTACTTATTGTTTTCTTTGAAACAATCGTATCTGTTAATTCCAGGTCTGTCTGAAGCTCTCCACAAGTGGTCCTTGGCTCTTGGACAACTCTTCTGATAATTCTTTTCACTCCTCTGTCAGAAATCTTGCGAGGAGCACCTGGTCGTGGTCGGTTTATGGTGAAATCATGTCCTTTCCACTTCCGAATTATGGCCCCAACAGTGCTCACTGGAACATTCAAAAGTTTAGAAATTCTTCTGTAACCGATGCCATCATTAGGCTTTGCAACAATAAGTCTGTGAAGGTCTTGAGAGAGCTCTTTACTTTTACCCATCATCAGATGTTTCTTGTGTGATTCCTGGCCATCATTTGGGACTGAACCAGCTGATATTAATTTGCATTGACAAGGGGCAGGCTTGTTTTCTAATTACTGAGAGAGTTCAGCTTGGTGTCTTGGCTTTCCGTGCCTTTTTACACCTCCCTTTCTTCATGTGTTCAATACTTTTTCCCTGTGCCATTCCACATTATTACAAATAACTTCATTTTCTGGACATTTATGGTTTGATTTCTTTGTATGTATGGATCACTTGGGTTGTTACCGACATCTGGTGAAAATTTCATGTCATTAGCACCTCTAGTAATACTGTATATTTACTGAGAAAAATGGTGATGTGTTCAATACTTATTTTACCCGCTGTATATGTGATAATACAAGTCCTGTTTCTTGTAGATAATACTTGGCAAGCAATAAGAAAACTAACTCTAGAAATGCCTTTTCTGCACAACTTCAGACATTTTCTAAGCTCCTCTTTTGCATGCCTTACAGTGGGCAGCCTGCTCTGCAACCTGAAACCCAACTGCAGCTAATGAAAGAAAATAAAATAACAATACAAACTCTAATTATAAATCATCTAATAAATCTATGACTGCCACATCTCCACTTTCCCAGAAGTGAATAATCAATTTTAAGGCTCTTATAATTATTAAGTCTCAGACGCGGGCACCTTGTTTGGTATCCTTCAGGCATAAACACAATTTACGAGCATGACCAATTAAGGAGCAGAAGCATTAAGATGTTAAAATGAGAACACAAAAAATGGTTCTTACTTGATGTTCTAAGCATTACATAAATTTACCAGACAGTCTCGAATGACTTTAATCAAAGTATCGACAGGCACGTTTCAAGTAAAATTACAGTTAGTGATTTTTACAGGAATTTAATGCCAGAGGAAAGGAGAAAAATACGACTTTAAGTCCACATTAAGACATGTTTACTGAACATGCTGACCTATTTTTCTTCTAAACTGACTTTTTAGATAGAACTCATCCCTAAATACCAAATCAGTCTCCCAGTTTGTGCTCATCCCAAATCTGCCTTTTCCTGCACTGAATGATATTATGTACCTATGAATGAACCACCAACAAGCGTTACCATGGGTACGCCACACATGCCGTACAAGAAAGAGGAGTAGCGACACACTGCTGCATTTCATTCACCAACACCTGCCAAGTGTGTGTGTCGGCGTGCACGCCAGGAAGTCAGAATAAAACTGTGACAGATTTGCACTGGGGGCAGAATGGATGGACAGAAAAGGATGACAGCATCTGATGATGATGATGAAGCTCAGCGGAGACAAAACAACACTCCACCAGCTGGGTGCCCTGCTGCTTTGAATGAGTACCCCCCCCCCCACACACACACACACACATACACACACTTCCAACACAAACTCATAGATCCTCAAAATATACTCTGTTTTTAACGCCTTCTATCTCTTCAGAAATCGTGTTTAGCTGCATTTACACATAATTATCTGTCACTTTATCAACTAATGTTTATCGATCATATATACTGTATTTAAAGTACACTTGAACTTGTCACATAATGTGTCGGTGCTAACAAAAGCTAAACAAAAGACACAAAAACATCTTTTATGGTGGATTTAAAAATGATTTGTTTTTTTGATGAATTACCTCATTTACCTTTATTGAGTAAATGTACATAAATCACTGCGCTTCTACAACCCATCTTTGTTCCTCTTATTTCTGGTAAGAATTAAAATGTTTAACAATAAAATCAAAGGAAAGGCTACTTTTTTTCTTGAATTGACCTGTTCTGAATAAAGTTACCTGTAACTCGAAAATATACAGTAGTGTGTAATAGGGTTGGGCAATATTGGCAAAAAATGTTAATCACGATTAATTGTGGTATTTAGCCGATAACGACAAATTTGACGATTAATCCCCTGGAGTCCCTGGATACCCTTATGTCCTGGTCACATGACCAATGTAGTGGGAAAGATTTGCTCTTCATAAAAATCTGTTCCAAATTGTGTCTAAATTACAGACTTCAGGCTATACATCAAATTTTAAATTGTGTTGATAGATAAATAAATTACACAACTTTTTTTAATGTTAATCATATTTGAAGCGGAGAGGACCGAGCAGACTCTGCCTGGTGGCATTATTTGTATTAATCATCCAGTGTCAAAAAGTAATCGATTAATGTTTTTCTGACAATTAATTGCACATGATACGATTATGCCCAACCTTAGTGTGTAAAAGCTTGAAAAATTAGATTTGTTGTTATTTTTATCGAAAAATTATATTAAATGCCTTCTAATTTTAGTTACAAAGTTCCTAAATATGATGACTTGTTTAAACTAGTGGTAAAGACATTTTATGTTTGGTCATATTTTTAATGAGTAATAACGAATATTTTAGGACTGAGTACGGAAACAGAATGAAAACCTTTAAAGATTTGATTAAATTGAAGTTACAGTTTGGTGTTTCCAATCAAATGCATGACAATCAAGTGCCAGCAGCTGACGAACGAATAAAGATGATAAAAGCAAAAAGATTTCCATTGGAAGTCTCAAAAAGCTGCAGGTGCTCACCCCGCTGAAAATTTGACGACATTAGTTTTCTGCAACTGATGTGGTCAAGTGGAAAAAAAGAAATGAAGCACTGTTGTCGTCCACAGGAGAGGCTGATCGATGACAACCGCTCTAAGAGTAAGGCACAAAATAGTCACAAAGRACTCAACCTCCAACTCCCAAACAGCTTAAGGCCTTCTTTGATATCAGCTCATGTCACAAGCTCCCCATCAGGAGAACAGCGGACATGAAAGGCCTGCAAACAAAARCCCACTGCTCTGCACAAAACTGCTTATCTGCCGTGGGAGAAAGAGCAAAGCCAGAAGGCTGATGAGAACATTATAAGTGATGTCTTCAAGACAAAAAAAAAACACTTTGTTTTACCAAGCAAAAAACTTATATAATGTAAGAAAACAAAGACAAACCAGAGCTGCACATCAGGTATGAGTACAGCACAGTTTTTGAGTTTGTTGTCAATTATTTTTTCTTGTCATTTTGAACTTTTTGTTTGTCTGTACAATCCGATCTGATTTAAACCTCTATATATTACAGAGAAAAGGCCTAGCCATTTCTTTATAAGACCTGCAAGCGTTCTGATACAGAAGCTCTTAAAACAAACAATACAGGGATGAATGAGTTGGTGTAGAATGCAGCAATTTTCCTCAGGCTCAACATGTGTTCAACACCCACCTTCCGTAGGTGTTTCTGTTACCCAGAGACTTGTTGGCAGTAAAACACTCACCAACATCAGTTTGCTGCTTTGGCATTTAGTGATATTAGCCATATTTTTAAAAATCAAAACTGTTTATAAAAACAAATTTTAAAAAATCGGAAAATGCAACATTTTCTGATGGGAGGAGAAATGCTATGAGACTTGAATGGAATGTGGTATAATCACGGCTCTGAGTTCATTGTCAATTAAAGGTCCTTTCAAAACACTGTTTTACATTCTGCTTCCTCTTGCTGTTTCCATAACAACCATGGAGGCACGGAAGAAATGTGCTCTATAACCTTCAGGACTCAACACTCACAATGAAGCGCAACAGCTGCTTATGTGCACATACAAGTATGCATCTGTCAGCCACAGTGAAACTCACACCCGTACTCTGCTGTAAAACACTGTCCAATAAACACACAGATTTGTTGGGCAGGAAAAATGTGATTTTGTAAAGTGGAACGCAGTTTTAATCCAGATTGTTTCGCTTTTTCTCTGATTTATGATCATTCATCTGGAACATCTTGGAGAAGAGATATTTGTCAATTTATTAGCCCTAACCAAAGAAGTTTACTTGAAACTTCAAGTTTTCACTTACAAACTGACATCTGTTGGGTTTATTAGGGTTAACACAGCAGTAGGAACTGATTTATTATCTTACATGTAATGATGGATGGATGGATGGATGGATGGATGGATGGATGGATGGATGGATGGATGGATGGATGGATGGA